TCTGCTTCTATCTCAGTGCCACACAATCCCTAGCATCTCCCTCTAAGAACCCTGCTGGAGCTGCAAGTCCACTCTCTGTTTCCAAGTTGCCTCTGGAAGTCACTGGGCTCATGGCTCCATCAGTCTGAGTGATGAAATAGGCATTTTTAATATTTGCTAAACAGGACTGTAGAGAAGGTGAGTCTCAGCAGGGCTCCCAAGCAGTAAGAGCATCTTGTTGTCTCAGGTTAATCATGTACCTCATTTGCCAATTATTGACATGTTCTCACAAAGGATTTTACTTGGCTTGACATATCAGTAGCAATCAGTGATGAACTGTCAAGCAAACTTGCTCACCGCCTTAACCACCCAAGACCCCGACTTGCGGCAACAACCTCTGAAATTTCCTTTGATGCCTAGCACTGTAGCTGGGTCAGATTATTATCATTGCTTCAAGTCTGAAGTTCCTTTCCAGAACTGAGGTTGAGCAAATCTGACACAGTTTGTCTGATTTCAACTACCTGGCAAGATGCACTAGGCTTCCTCACACACCATCCCTGTTAAGAATTCGAATTGGTCCGTTGAGACTGGTTTATATTGACTTTGTTTCTGTTTTTGTCTAGGTCTTAAAAAATGCAATATAGGGTGTCAAAATGCTGCATTTAAAAGACAATATAATAGCTGCCTTTCAAATGGACAAAGACTAAACAATGAAAACACTCAGGGTATGTAAGGATTCAGGTAAATAAAATGGGCACCTATGCCCTGCTGCTGGTAGCTAGGAGGTTAGGGTGCATTAACTGGTGCAAACTTTCAGAAGGACAATTTGGCAATTCGTATTAAGTCCTCACGGGTTGACTTTCAGGGAAGGATTAAAGGTGTCCACAAACACTAGCCACAAGGACAGGTATCTCAACATTTTATTGTAAGTCAGTAGGGCTTTTCCTGGATTTATCTGGTGCTCCATGTCTCAGGGTCAACATAAGATTGTATTTCCTGCTCCAGTGAAGTTAGGATAGGACTTGCTTTGGTCCGTCAGACAAAGGCTGAAATGACATGCGTCACTTCCAAGCAGAAGTCTTCAGGGAAGGGTCGAGAATTCACCACCTTCGCCTTCCTTTGCTACACAGAGCTAGTATCTCCCTGAGAGTGGAGGTTCTATAGGTCTGGGTCCTTGAGTGAGGCTGATGTTGCGCCAAGGCTTCTTTAATCCATGCGAACGTGTGAAGTGGGGTTTCCCAACTTCAGCACGACTGACACTCTGGGAGGGATAATTCTCTGTCGTACATGTTTAGCAGCATCCCTAGGGGTGACCCACTAGCTTCTAGTAGCAACTCTGTCCCTGTGTGAGAACCAAAAATATTCCCAGACGTTGCCACAAGCATCTGCGTTGGGGGCAAAATCACCCCTGGTAAACGAAAAATAGCTTCTGTTATTTTAAGCCATTTAGATTCTTAGTTTTTTTTTTTCCCCCCTGCAAACTGATAGATTTTATTATAGCAAAAACATATGTAAACATTCACCAAAAGGGGTAAAAATTATGGCTGTTTTCGCTTCCTTTTGTTTTGAAATTTTTTTCTACAATGAAAATGCAATTTGTTCTTCCGTAAGAAGGAAAACACACTAGAAAATTAATTTTACTTTAAGAAGCCATATTTACATCATTGCTCATCTATATACAGTATTTGCTAGGGCCACACAGAGTTTCTTAGTACCACGAAACACTTGTATATGCTATCTTTATGTTATGCTTTAGTGGACAAAGTGTTTTCCCATTCTACCTCTGTTGTGGTGGTGTAATTACAACAGCATTGTGAGCCAGGTAACACAGGTAGACAAACTGAGGCTAAAAGAGGTTAAGGGCAAAGTCTAAGATCTCCTGGTTAATATAAGCAGGGCCTCTATCCTGAACTCTCCAATTCCAGGACTTTCTCCCCCATGCCACGTTGCCTCTGTATCGCTGTAAAAAGCTACATTCAAAAATTCAACTGGGACTCACTCTGAATCTTGAGGTAAGAAAGGGTTCTCTTCTGTATTTAATATCCTTGGACAAGGATACTAAACCTTGTAGGCTCTTGGTCAAAGCATGATACTCAATAAAATTTAAGCATAGCTATTTCATGCAACACAGCCAATAGAATTTCATAGTCATCCCCCCTCCCCATCTCTTTCTCTTTCTTTCCAGCTCAAATGAGTCACCTTGGCTAGACTGCCAATCCCCATAGAACTTATGTTCCTTGATAGGATATGCCAGTAGAAATGAGAAATTCTATAATGGTTCGAGATGTGAGTTAGTCACCTATCCCTGCAAGGAGCTAAGCACCGTCTCCTCGAGGAAATGTAGCTCATCAAATGGACATGAATGCACGTAATGAGAGTGACTGAATGTGAGACTGTGTAGGGAGTCGGTTTTTTCTCTTTTTCTTCTTTTTAAGAAGCGCCCCTATATTGTACCTGTCTTGTGCATTTCTAAGCATCTGCACTGTGTCTCACTTACTTGACCCTCTAATTCACGCTAAACTCCCAAATTGGCCGCTGGACTGAAACCCTCAGCGTACATCAGCCCATGCCTATTCATTTCCCTTCCCTTGAACTGTGATGAGGCTGTCCCTGGAGTGGAGCTATTTTGAGAGGACGACCGCTAGAACAATCACTAGCCTGGCAGGAGATGGACAGTGTGGTGTAGCCACAAAAGAAAAGACATTGTCATTGAGGGTTTGAGTCCTGAATGTCAGAACAGCAGGGAAACTGGGCAGAGTATGTTCCTGCCTGCTGTCCACTATCCCTCAGTTCCAGGGAGTTACCGACTTGACTTGCCATGATCATTTGCTTTTCCATGATACTAGTTGTTCAGAGCATGCAAGGGAAGGGGGTTAACAGTGCTTTGGTACAGTGTCGGGAAGAAGCGTTTTTCTCCAGCAAAGCTCCTTGCATCCAACCGACTGAGAGGAAAGTTATTCTCAGCTGTGCCCAGAGGCATGTTCATATTTATTCGAATAAGGCCAATAAGCAGATTTCACCACCTCAAGTCCTTCCCTGTGCTGTGGTAGAATCAGTGGAGTCTGAAGGTCAAGGACACCACCTCACAATCTGCATAACTTCCCAGGGCAGCACCCTGCTGCCTGGCCAGAAGTTACAGAAATGCCATAGGGACGCCTCTCAGCTGACTTTCTCTCTTTCTCTGGATGCGAATCTCTTTGAAGAGCAGATAAAAATTTTGTATCAGGAGTTCTGCTTGGTCAGGAGCTATGTTAACTCATCTCTGAATAATCAGTGCCTAGACCAATAAATATTTTTCTGGATGGATGGATGGATGGATGGATGGATGGATGGATGGATGGAGGATTTATTGATTGCCACTTTACACATTGGTCCCTACAGCCTGGGCTGTGTATGGTAAAACAAACAGAAAACAAAACAAAAAGTCCCACAGTCCTCCTCTAGTCCTTTATATTGATTCTTCGATTCTATCAGGTTGTAAAGATGGGATTGCAAATAAGTTTCATTTTGAGAGCCAACACTGGTCAGTTGGTAGTGGTTGCCTTGAGGGTTCTGTTGGAGGTTATGTGTGCACTGAGCTCACCGAGGAAAAAGTGCAGCCATCAATGAGCAATGTCGGCCATGAGCCAAAGACAAAGAAATGGTGGCCTGACTCCTTTGCATTTGCCAATGGGTTTAGAGCTTTCAATTCTTTCAATTCAATTTTCTAGATGAATACCTTTCCAGCACATTTTAAAGTCATCTTTGACTGGATAAAATGAGTAGTTAAGGAAGTTTTCCTTCCACTGGGGTATTTTCCTAATGTATTTCTTTATGTACTTGCTGGATTTGAAAGCCAATGAGGCAGGAACGCCCTACTTGGTTTTTCTTGGGATACGCAATTCTTATTGGAAAAGAAAACCAAGCTAGGTGGGTGTTAATTTGTCCCCAGTGGTGTGTATATAATAAAATCTCTACCAGGACAAATTAAAGGATGGATGAGAGGAAAAACAATGAAACCCATAATCTAATCCAATCTCTTCATTCCCAACACTGGGGATAATCTCACTTTCATAGTGCCATGGATGTCCCAAGGAACTCAGTAGAGGGAGGAGTAGAAATCACGGAGAAAGGGCTGAATTTTGGTTAATTTACACAACGCTTTGGGATGTCTCCTACTGATATTGTAATAAATTGATCCAATAACTAGAACACCTGAAATGAAAATGCCCAAGGATTAACCTCCAGGGCTGGCAAAGCTGACTTCACCAGGTAGGAATGTCATCTTTTTTTTTTTGAGGTACCATTCATACAACATAAATTATGCCATTTTATAATTCGGTAGCTTTTTCGTATATTCACCATGTTGTACAATCGTCACCACTATCTAATTCCTGAGCATTTACATCACCCCTAAATGAAACCCCATACCTTCCAGCAGTCAGTCTCAATTCCCTCCTCCCCCCTCCCTGGAAATCACTCATCTCCTTGCTGTCTCTATGGGTTTTCCTATTCTGGACAATAAATGGAATCATACAGTATGTGGCCTTTTGTATCTGGCTTCTTTTACCTAGTACCATACTTTTAAGATTCATCCATGTTTTAGCATGTAACAACACTTCATGCCTTTTTATAGTTCAATGATATTTCACTGTATGCATAGGTCACATTTTGTTTATCCATTCATCAGTTCATGGCCATTTGGGTGATTTCCCCTTTTTGGCTATTATGAATAATGTTGCTCTGCACAGTCATGTATATGTTTTTATGAGAAAGAACATTTTCAGTTCTCTGTGTGTATATACCTAGAAGTAGAATTGCTGGGTCACGTGGTGATTCTAGCTGTGACTTTCTGAAGAACCGTCAAATTCTTTTCCACAATAGCTGCACTGTTTTGTATTCTCATCAGCCATATACCAATGTTTCAATTTCTCCAAATCCCTGCCAACACTTGTTATTGTCCAACTTTCAATTATAGTCATCCTAGTGGGTAGGGAGTGGGAATTTCTTTAAACTCATAGGTCCATCGAGCATGGTCATACCTGGGCATGAGATGGTGGAAGTCCCCTTCTTATGTAAACACCAAAGAGAGCATCCTTCCCAAGGGAGATGTTGAACTTTAAGAACTGGGGTTGACTGATGTGAATCTGTGATCTCCAAAACACGCCTGGGGGGACTTCTTGAGTCACCCGTCGACCAACTTCTGCTTCACCACTGTCTATGCTGCTGTTTTTCAATGACCAGGGCACTGGAAAACAGGAAGTGACATCAAGTCAGTGACATTAGTACTCATTTGTTGGTTCTACATTTCTGTTAATTTGCATGCCAGGCATTGAAAAAAAATGAAGATGAAACTCATGGCAAGTTCATCTTTAAGTATAAACTCATAACCCAGGGCAAGTGAAATACTGGCACAATGCTTTCCAAACTTCTGTGATTGCTCTTTACTGATCGAATACAGTAGGAGCTGGAGTCTGGGAAGTACGTGTAAAGCTTCTAACAACCTCGAATAGGGCTGGGGTGTACAATTACCAGCAGGGGAGACAAGAGTGATATTAACTTGGCACCAAATTTAATTCTTGTAGCCTTTAATTATTCTTCCCAGCCAGAAACAAGTCCAATATACTGACATTTTTACAAATGAAAAAAAAAAAAAGGAAGCAACAGTGAACATACACTGGCCCAAAGTAAATAGCAATAGAAAATAAGGACTGGATCTCAGATGGACGTAATATTGGGGGTGACTCCTTCCCTGGGAGGGATCTAAGCACCATGTGGAAATCACACTTCTTTCATGGTGACATCAATGTACCTCTGTTGCATTTGAAATTACATATATAGAAAATATTGGTTGTCCACACTCGGCTTCCTTCAGAACTTTAATAAAAGGGGTTGCAGAAATACCTATTTTTAAAGAGTATTTCTTAATAACAATGAAGCAGGCAGTACCTTCTACACTCCTGAGGGTGGTTTTATTTGCAAACACAGAATTAAGGAATAGCTGGGAGTTACTAGTAGTTGCCCAAAAAAAGCAAGTTCATCTCTCAGAGCCTTGTTTTCCCGATCCCTTAAGTGGGAATAAAACCTAAGTGGAACCTAGCTTTATAATGGTCATTAGTGATTTGTTCAGATGGAACTTCTGAAAGAAGTTCTGGGGGTCTTTTCACTTTATAATCGATCACTTTGATGGACTTGTGCGTCGGAAAACTTCTTTAGCACAATGGGCAAAGGACTGGAATCAAGCTCCCCTCTGCATTCTGTAACAGACAGGCTTTTCTGAAAATATTTATCTATATTTGGCTGCAATTCAGTGCAAAAGGTTTGGATGGTCAGGAGAGGTCATGGGATTGCTGAAGGCTGGCATAAAGGGTTAGTGAACTATCTGACTTGGCAGCCCTGCCTGTTACTATCTAGCCCCTGCATCAAGACAAGGCTCATAAATGACCTTGGTGCCACTTTCTCCATCTGTAAAATGGAAGGGTGAAATTTTTGGATCTCTGAAGGTTTTCCATATCTAAATTATAAAAGAAAACCACAGAATGACTTGAGGGTATGAAGTTTTTTTTTTTTTTTTTTTTTTTTTAAACAAGAGAGGGGATGATTCATTTTTATTTAGCTCAATAATGGGTCAAATAAAAAGTCAACAGGGCTTAAAATAAAGCTGGAGAAACAATGATTTGGACTTTAAAAAGAAACTCTTGACCTCTAGAATAATAAAACCAGAGAACGGGCTTCTAAGGGAAATTTGGAAGCTTTGATCACATAATATCGTTAAGAAGAAACAACTAGTAAGTCCCGAATGGGTCAGACCTTTAGATGGGACTAGATGGTTTGTTCCTCAAACATGTTATGTGGATGTTGGACATGGAATACTTCCCTGTAGGGGGAGGAATACTACACAGTATGGAAGAGCAGGGATTCTGGGCTGAGACTTCTCTGGTTCAAATCCCAGCTTTGGCACTTGCTAAGTGTATCAGCTCTCTGTGCCTTAGTCTGCACATCTGTATCGTTGGGACACTATTATTTATTTCACAGGGTTGTTATGAGGATTTAATGAGCTAATCCATGCAAAGCTCTTAATATAATTTTAGGCACAATATAAGTCTTAAATAAAAATTAGCTATCATTATTATTATTATTATTATCTGCAAGGCTCTCAGCCTAAACAGAATGTTGTTTATTTTGCTGAAATAATGACATGTCCAGGGGGAAACACTTGTTATCACCCATTAATCAGAAGCTCTAATTATTATAATTTGAAAACTAATTTGTGCTTAAAAATGCTGCTGTTGGCACACTGCCCCCTCCCCCCACATTAAGGCCTTTTGGGGGAAGGGCTATAATATAAAGGATGCAGTAAGGAAGGGGTGTAATAACAAGGACCCCTGGGGAAGAAGAGTTTAGAGACCAAAAGTAACCCCAGCAGTCATAGTGCGGCAACAAGTTAAAGAAATTCATTTAAAATAAAAAAGAACTTTAAAGAAATTATTCATCTTTAAACTTAATAAGATGGGCTTTCCTTCATGTCTGTTGGGCTTTCCGGGGTTGCTGGGTTAATGACAGGATATGAAAAAGAAGCAGGAAATCAGCACCCATGAGCCCGCTAATCTACTGCTGAAACTGAAACGGATTTTGATAATGTCAAGCCAAATGAGGATGCAAGAGATTCGCAAGGGAGCCAGCTGCTGGAGGGCAGTTGCTCTGGAGAAATTCAGACAAGGAGCCTCAGGGGTTTGGTTCGTATAGTAGTAGGATACCCGTTCTCTCACTAGACCCAACTTCAGGACACTGCCTTCGGTAAATGAGCTGCTACTACCAGTGAGGACGGGCTGCCTTTTCAGTGTTCACACCTCCTCCTAGGGTTCCATAGGCTCCCCTCCTTCACGTCCCATCCACTAAAGGAGGCAGTGCATGTGGGTGATGAAGTACAGGTTTTGCAGCCAGACAGGGCTGGGTTAAAATTCTGTCTCTGGTTCTTCCTTGCTGTGTGACCTCTAGCAATTTGCTTAACCTCTCTGGGCCTCCATTTTTTTTTTTTTAATGTAAAATGGAAATGAAAATAGTAACTGTCTCACAGGGTGGGAGCAACAAATGGGAGTACACAAAGGAGGGCTTGTACAGGGCCTAGCACATAATAATTGCAAAATAAATGCTAGTTAGTTCCATTTAATTAAATTAAAAAAATGAAAAACTATAAGGGGAAAGCACCTAGCTTTCTTTGTAAAGGATTTTCTAAAAGAAAGAAACATCATATGGATATGTAATATATATGTACGTATACATGCATACATGTATATATACATCTATTTATCTGCATACCCATCAATCGAGAGAGTGTCGAATTCTACTGACATCGACTTAACTACGGGAACAAGTGTGAAATTGGTAGTCAGGATCTGTTCCCACTACTGATTTTTGGTGGGACTTTCCAGAAGCTGGTATGGCCACTTTATCAATTAGCTTACTTTATTGATAAACCTGCTTTATTGAGTAGCACTGAAATTAAGGTCCAGCTCAGGCGCACCTTTGTACTGATGCCCTCTTTTTCTTTTCATCCCACCTTCACTCCTACCACCAGACAAATAGGCTCCTTCTCTCAGTGTTCATAGCATCTACACTTTGGTGTTCTGTGGGGTCCAGCACCTGTTGTTCGGTCCTATCATTGATCTTGCCTGCCTTTCTAAGTCTCTTGTATTAGACACTGTACTTCCTGAGGTCAGGCAGAACGGCAAATGCATCTTTGGGTTCTCTGTGGTTTGCACCTGGCAAACTGTAGGTGATTTATAAATGCTTGTTGAACTGAATCAAGTTTTACTTGTCCATCTGATGGGGGGTTTTAACATAACCCCTGCCACTACTAGGTAAAACGGGAGTGTTAAGGAAGATTTATTTTGAAAAGTTGCATATAAATTGACTTTTTTTCCCTAAATAAAATCGAAAGCTCTAAAGCTTTATGGGGAAATTTACTATTTAAAGGAACCTTCCTTGTGGATCCTTTCCAAAAATCACGAGTAAACTCTTAATTTATCTTTTGTGTAAAACCTTATAAATAAATAAGCGAAACCAGGGGAGCTGAAATGTAGTGGAAAGGTCCTTAGATTAATAACCAAAAGCCATGGGTCCTAATCCTGATACTTAATGACCTTGGCCCTTTTGTGGAAGGGAATAGGGGTGTAAATGAACTCTTTGGTTGAACTCCCCTCCTTGCTACTAAGCAGCTGGCTAGTTTGAGGCCCATCTTGCTCTCAAGGTCTCAGTGTCCTGAACTACATGGACCCACAGATATCTTAAGGGGCACTCTACTGGAGTCTACTGTGTTCTACCGACTGGGGGGTCATCTCTGGGTACATGCTACAAACAGTGTAAGAGAGAGAGAGAGAGAGAGAGAGTGTGTGTGTGTGTGTGTGTATGTTGCCTGCGAGAGGGAGCAGGGGCTATGAGCAAGTGAAGGAGATTTCATTTTTAATAAATTAAATTCATTTAACATGTTACCGTTACCGTTAAAAGCTAGTGACTACTTTCAAACTGAATTCTTCAGATATGCAACTGAATTATGCCTTTGCAAAGTGGAATTTTCACTACTGTCCATAAATACATACTTTTATATATAAAATCTTCATTTTGAAATAATTTCAGATTTACAGAAAAATTAAAAAAATAGTATAAGGAAGTCCTGCATATCATTCACCCAAATACCATAAATTTAATATACATTTGTTCCATCATTCTATTTTTTTGCTGAAACATTGAGACTAAGTTACAGAAGACTGTTCCTTTACCTCCCAATATTTCTATGCGTTTTTCCTAAAAGCAAGGATATTCTTTCTCAGAACCATCGTACAGTTCTCCAAAACCGAAAGTTAACATTGATACAATGCTATTTCTAATTTCTATTTCTATTTCTAATTTATAGATCTGATTCAAATTTGCCAACTGTTACACTGACATTCTTTATAGCCATGGGAAAAAGGCTTTTTCTATATACTTAACAAAACATCTTTAAAATGAGTGTGCAGAACTCACACTTCTTTTTAATTTTAAAAAGAACAAAAAAGAAAAAAAATGTGATGCCAACACTGCCTCAAAAGAGATAAAAAGGAAAGGTGGCTTTTTAAATTGCTGGAGCCCGTGTGGGGAACCATCCCTGTGACTCTGTCTCGGGAGGGCAAGTCCCTGGGCTGGTGCCCAGGAGTGAAGGTCTGTGCTGCTCTCGAAGGTCAAAGAGATCAGCACCCTGAGCCAGGCTCC